TGATGTATAAAATTCTAATGAGATAAATTAAGGGGACCTAAGTAAATGGAGACACGCTCATGATTTGGAAAAACCAGGATAGTTAAGATGTCAATTCTTAATTTAAACCTAAGTATTTCTTTCTTTTCCTTTGGAGCTATTTTAAGTGGTGTTGTTTTTTAAATCTTGATTTTCAGTTTTTTGCTTTTAGAAAATATAAATATGACTACTGCTGTATGCTGACATCTGTTCTTTCACCCGCCACGGCTTCGAATATTGTGCTGAATCGCTGACTGGGGGTGGCCTCTTCCTAATGGTTGAGGGGAAGCAGTCAGTCTTTGCCTATTAATGTGAGCTGTAGCTGTCCAAAAAGTTCCCTTATATTCCTAATTGGCCAAGTGTTTAAAGTCATGAAAGAATGTTAAAAATTGTCCAATGCCTTTACTGCGTCAGCTGATAGGATCACACGGGTGTTCTCTTTTAGACTCTAGTGTGGTGGACTATATAGATTGACATCTGCATATTGAGCCGGCCTTGCATCCCTGGGATAAACTCCTTCAGGTTGTTACGCATTATTCTTTTTCTATTTTGATGAGCATTTTTTCACGTGTGTCCGTAAGGGATATTGGTCTTTTTTGGGTCCCATTTCTGTCTGGTTTGCGTATCAGGACAGTGCTGGGCTCATCCAGTGAGGTGCGAAGTGTTTCCTCCTCTTTCATTTTCTGGGCCCGCAGGTTATTTTAATATGTATTGTTCAATATCCAAGTATTTGGAGGTTTTCTCGTTACCTTTATGTTACTGATTTCAAGTTTAATTTCATTGTAATCAGCAAGCCTATTTTGCATAATCTCAATTATTTTAAATTTGTTAAAGTTTGCTTGATGGTCGATGTCCACGCTGATTTTCTACCTGCTTATTCTATCAATTATGAAGAGAATACTGTGAAAATCAGCCTTCAGTTTGACTAGTTTTACCATCACGGATTTTGAAGCCCTGTCGGTAGGTGCATACCTACTTAGGATTGTTATATCGTCTTCATTAATGACCCTTTCATCATTATGTGATGTCCCTGCTTATTCCTGGTAGTTTTCCTTGCTCTGGAATCTACTTTGTCTCATTTGCATCTGTAACCATTTCAGCTTTCTTTTGACTCGTGTTTGCCAACATATGTTTTCTGTTCTTTTGATCTGAACTTACCTATAACATTTCAAAGTGAATTTATTGTAAACAGCATAGAGTTGGCTCAGGTCTTAGCTTTTAATTGATGTTGACAATCTCTGTCTTTCCATTGGTGTTTAGACGTTTAATGTAATTATTGGTATTTAGGTGAACCATTTCATTATTATTTTGCTGTGTTTTGTTCCACAGGTAGAGGGGGAAAGCAATAAGGATTCTCCCAGGGCCCTTGGGACACGTTTCCTCTAGTCTTGTGGTCAGCAAACTGCGGCTCGCGAGCCACATGCGGCTCTTTGGTGGCCCCTTGAGTGTGGCTCTTCCTAAGCCTTTGGAGGACCCTAATTAAGTTAATAACAATGTGCCTACCTATATAGTTTAAGTTTAAAAAAATTGGCTCTCAAAAGAAATTTCAATCTTTGTACTGTTGACATTTGGCTCTGTTGACGAATGCGTTTGCCGACCACTGGGCTAGTCCATAACGTAGGGACCTGCGTGGCCTCCACAGCCATCACTGCCGCGGCTGCTGCTGGGCAGAACTCCTGGGAGCGATAGCAGGAGGAAAGGCAAAAAGAAAGAAGGAATCCCCCCATTTCTCCAATCCTTAGGGGACCCTTTTCTGTTTGTCAGGCCAGAAAGAGAAAGCTTTTCATCTAGATCTTTCCGTCTGCCCTCGGCGTACACCTCTGAGGTTCAGGCTGCCTTTGTGTCCAGGCCAAGGTATAACGGGAGGAGAGAGCAGAGAGCTCACTGCTGGGCTTGCTGCATTAGCATTGCAGAGTCCTCAGGGAGCTGTTCACACAGTGTCCAGAGCTTTCAGCTCACTCAGTGGGGACACCACAGGGGAATGTTCTTACTCCATCTTCACCAGATCTAGAACCTCTGACGTCACATTTTGATGTTGAGCTTTTCCTGACTTTTTGAATGCATATGTGCAAATTTAGAAATATACTTTCAAAAACTGATATGTTCGAAATGTGTCCATTGTTTCTTTACCTGCTATTTAAAATGAACACTTACAGCCCTAACCGGTTTGGCTCAGTGGAGAGAGCCTCGGCCTGCGGACTCAAGGGTCCTGGGTTCGATTCCGGTCAAGGGCATGTACCTTGGTTGCGGGCACATCCCCAGTAGGGAGTGTGCAGGAGGCAGCTGATCGATGTTTCTCTCTCATCGATGTTTCTAACTCTCTATCCCTCTCCCTTCCGCTCTGTAAAAAATCAATAAAATATATTTAAAAAATAAAAAAATAAAAAATAAAATGAACACTTACAAATCTTTTCAATGCAATAAATATAGACGTACATACTCAGTTTTATGCCCAGGCAGTATTCCAGGGCACAGGTTATCCTAATTTGCTTAGTCGATATCCTCTAGTTGGGCCTTTAAGTTTCTTCTGGTTCTCACTCACCATAAACAATGTTTTCATGCACATTGCTGCACACACTCCTGATTCCCTTGTCCGATAAGTTCCTTAGTATACATTTCTAAAAATGGAATTTCTTGGACAAAAAGTAAGCACATTTTGAAATCTGATACTCATTGCCCACCTACCCTCCAGAAAAGCGATACCAATTTCCTTCTCACCAGCTGGGTATCTTCACCAGCAGTTGTTGTGACTGTCTTTTCTAATCTTTGCCAAAGTTATATCACATTTTAGTATTCATTCCTATGGTTATATCAACAGGCTAAAGTTATTATGAGTCCATTGTCATGTTAATACATTAAATTCAATTAGTTGATATTTAGTTAGAATGTGTACATATCTACACTAATAAAAGAGAAATAGAGAAATTGGTGTCACTCTGCTATGCCCACCAGCCAATCAGGATGAGTATGCAAATTAACCCAAAAAGGTGGCGGTTAATTTGCATATGCAGGCACCGAGTGAAGACTGAAGGCTCCGCCTGAGCGAAGACTGAAGAGGCTTGGCTTCTCCACTGCAGCCGGAGCGAAGGCCTGGGTCCCGGGTGCCAGAGGAAAACTGGTGCCGGCAGCCAGGGGAAGGAAGGCCTATTGCACGAATCTCTTTGTGCAACGGGCCTCTAGTATATTTATAAATGAGCCTAATCTACTTTTCACTGTGGTAAAATATACATACCATAAAATGTACCATTTGAACTATTCTAAAGTGTACAGTTCAGTGGCATTAAGTACAGACCCGATGTTGTGTAATCCACACCACTACCCATTTCTAGAACTTTTTCACCATCCCCAAAAGAAACTCATTCCACACTAACTCCCCATTCCTCCCTCCCCCAAACCCTTAGACACCCCCGTTACACTTTCTGTCTCTATAAATTCACCTTTTCTGGGTGCCTCATGAAAGTGCAATCACATAATATTTGTCATTTTGACTTATTTCAATTGGCATGATATCTTCGAGGTTGGTTTAAATAGTAGCATGTAATCATAGTTTCATTCTTTTTAAAGGCTGAATAGTTAATCATTGTGTGTATGTATACACCCATTTTGTTTATGCATTCATCTGTTGAAGGGCATTTGTAGTGTTCCCATCTTTGGGCCCTTTTGAATGATGCTGCTGTGAACGCTGGTGTGCAGGTTCCGGTTGGAGTCCCCATTTTCCATTCTTTTGGGGGTTTACCCGGGAATGGAAGGGCTGGGTCATACGGTGACTCTGTTCAACTCTTTGAGGAGCTGCAGACCGCTGTCCACAGCAGCTGCACATTCTAAATTCCAGCCACCAGTGCCCCAGGGCTCTGATCACCCCGCGTCCTCGCCGACACTTGTTGCTTCCATTGCTTTTCTTTTTGAAATAGCTGTCCCGCTGGGTTTGAAGGGCTTCGTCTATTTTTAGAACTGTCTTTATGAGACTTTGGTGTCCAGGATAAGCTGGCTTTTTCTCAGAGAACCTTTCTTTCGCTGCGTTTGGGGGCAGTTTAAATAACGTAGAAAATGACTTTACTTTGCAGCCTTGAGAGATTTTATCACAGGAACCCTCTGAGCCAGACACCAAATTTTAGGAGCTGGTTCCTTGACACCTTTCTCTGTTTCCTCAGTGGTTACTCATATAAGCAGATTTACCAGCTCTCCTAGAGACTTTTGAGTCATTTTTATTTTCCTAGAAAACTATGTATGATATAGAGGATTCAGATTTTCTTTTCTTTTTTTTCCCCTTTCTTTCTTTCTTTCTTTTTTTTTTTTTTGCTACAAATATATATGTCTAGTGTGGCCAGCATGGTTCAGTGGTTGAGCGTCGACCTATAAACCAAGAGGTCATGGTTCAATTCTCGGTCAAGGCACATGCCCAGGTTGCAGACTCAATCCCCAGTGTAGGGCGTGCAGGAGGCAGCTGATCAACGATTCTCTCTGATCATTGATGTTTCTTTCTCCCCCTCCCTTCCTCTCTGAAGTCAATAAAAATATTTTTTAAAAGACACAAATATATATGCATATTTGTCATTCCTAATATTGTCTCTTTGTCTTCTCTCTCTGTGGAAGTCCCTGCCCTCCAGGGGAGCAGCCTGGGCGCATGAGGGAGGGCCTGGGCTCTGAAGCCAGACGCTCCAAGCCCAGTGCTCATTCTGTCACTGACTGGCTGTTTGACCTTGAGGAGCTATTTGAGCTCTCTGTGCTCCCATTTTCCCTCTTGTACTTTGGGAGAAAATAGCATCTGCAACATAAGGTTAATATTAACATTGAAGAGCTGGCCATTTTTAAGTGCTTAGAGGAGCGCCTGCCACATGGCACGCACCATAGATGTGTTTCTTACACAAACCTGGGCTTCCCTGCCGTGTGCTGGAAGCCCAGGTCCCTGGCAGCCCCTCCACCCCCCAAGTGCACTTTCTGCACCTTCCTACCCCTTACACTCACTGCCTCTTATTTTGCAGAACCATCTCTGTGCAGAAAGAAACCAAACCACTTTACTTTCCATTCTGCTGCCCGAGACAACCACATCCTCCTCGCACACGCGCTCCCATGGAGAGCTCAGGTCAGTACGGTCGGGGAGAGGGGTCTAGTGCGCCTGGTGCATCATGGGAAGGACCCTCTTGCAGGTGAGGCTGCCCTGGGCTGGCAGGACCTCCCTCCAGCTGGCTGCGAGAGCCAACCCAGGCACCCGAATGTGAGAACATCCACATCTGACATCAAGACACTGTTATTGGCCTCAACTGTGTATAGGTCACTGAGCTGGACACTAGGAAGAAGGACAGTAATTGGCAAGAGAGATTTATTACCAAAGCCTTGCATTTATTGAACAAAACCCTTTATAGAGCTTACACTATATCAAGTACTAGTGAAAGCACGACAAAGATGAACTCATTTAGTCATTAGAAAGGTAGATGTTATTCTTACGCCCATTTTACAGACAGGGAAAGCAAGGCACAGGGAGGACGGGCATGGTTCCCGCAGTCACACAGATGCCGTGTGGTTAAATCGGGATTGACCCAGGGACCTGGCTCCAGCATCCTGCTCTTAGCGATTTCACCACGGATGGCCTCATGCAAACGTCAGGTATTTCTGTGAGGTAGGAATATCAGCGTGATTTTCCTTATTTTACTAAAAAGGAAACCAAGGCTCAGAGAGGTTAGGTAATTTCCTCCAGGCCGCAGAGCTAGTAAAGTGGCAGAGTCAGGATTGGAACCCAGATCTGGCTGATTCCAAAACCTAGATTCTTTTCCTTCTATGAACCTGTGAGAGCAAGGAGAGATGAGCCCTCCCCTAAGGTGTGTGTTGGCCAGTGGTCCCCTAGCAAGTCAGAGCACCCCGCAGGCCTCCAGGCGCGGACTCCAGGGCCCTGGAGGATGCACAGCGACCAGGTTGTTATCATTCCTAAGACATGCACCCTGGCCACACCCCACTCACCGCCAGCTCAGAAGATCCAGCTGAGCCCCAGCCGGTTTGGCTCAGTGGACAGAGCGTCGGCCTGCTGACCAAAGGGTCCCAGGTTCGATTCCAGTCAAGGGCACATGCCTGGGTTGCAGTCTTGATCCCTAGTGTGGGGCATGCAGGAGGCAGCCAGTCAATGATTCCCTCTTATCATGGATGTTTCTGTCTCTCTCTTCCTCTCCCTTCTTCTCTCTGAAATCAATAAAAATATATTTAAAACATAAAATAAAAGTTCATCAGTAGGCCCCACCCTCAGAGAAGTGAATTGGATTTGGGGGTGTGCTATGCATGGGTGTTTTCTTTGAAAGCTTTCCAGGTGATTCTACTGTGCACCCAGTTGGGGACTAGGAGAAAGCAAACAACCCTGGGAGGGGTGTGGTAAGAGACAAGAGGCTTGACTCGTCTGGGGTCGAAGGGCAATGGAGAGCTGGCATGGCCAAGTCCTAGGACAGCTTTGAATGGTCTCAGATTGAGAACCAGACCTTGAACTTTGGGGATCCTACCATGGTCAGGACCCTCTCAGCCTTGCTTCTCCGTCTCTCCCTGTTGCCTCTTTAGCTATAGTAACACCCACCTGGGTTTGAGAGTCTGGTCGGTGGGAAAGTATGTGGTCTTTGTTCCACGGGGGTGCAGGCTCCTTGGCCAGGCTACCACGGTCCATCGGGAGATAGGGGGTTCCCGTGGGGACATTCCTGTACTCTGGCAAAGGTGGCACAGGAGAACATGGCAATGGCATTCAAGGGCACAGAGTTTAGTGCCTCGCTGCCCTCATCGGAGATCCTGGCCGTCACCAGTGAGCTATGTCCCAGCGAGCCCAGGTCTCCCTCATTCCCTGGGTCCCATAACTCCTGGGCCCTGTAACCCTTGGGGAATCCAACTTTCTTCTTTAATTAAAGGCTGCAGGCTTCCTCCCACACCTTGAAGACAATCTGATTGATTGTCTCAGCCACATGGCCAGGGTCCCAAACTCCTGGGCTCGGGGAGGATGTAGATGAGTGAAAGGAGGAGAGCGGGAACTGGGAAGAACCAGAGAGCCTGTGCCTCACCTCACGGGGCAGCTGCCCAGCCCGTGGATGGTCGCATGTTGAAAGGAATGCCTGCCGGTGCCAGCAGACGTGCAAGAGATGCCCGAGCCCCTGACTGTAATGCAAAGTCCCCGCTTTGTACATGTTGGCGGCTCATTCCATTTTTTTGAGACTCTACAGCCCAAACAAAACACGTCTGCAGCCAGATGTGGACCGAAGCCTAAGAGTGTGTTCCGGCCGCCCAGACTTTTGAAAACAAAGTTTGTTTGGGGCTGTCTCCCGGGGCTACTGGCAACTTCTCTATTTTTCTCTGAAAATGAAAACGTAGCTCCCTTTGCAAAGCAGGGGCAACTAAAGGTCCGAAGATGAAGGCTCCTCTGCCCTCTAGTGAGGGGGCCAGGAGGAGGTCACTGATCATCTGTAAGTCTGTGTGCAGGGGGTGGTGAGGGAGGAAATAGCATAGTGGCACCAAAAAGAAGTATGTCTGTCTTTACAACAGTTACTAACTCACCAGAGAGAAAAATTAACAAAACAGAACATATAGTATGAACTGAATTAAAACATTTATTGAGTATGGAAGCTGTGCAAACTGCTGCGATAGGCAGTGAGAGATCCAAGATAAAGAACACTGTCCCCACCCTGAGAAGGCGGGGCTCACAGCCAAAGCAATACCCTGAGGTTCGGATAAGCTAATGTAAGTCCTCATTCCCCACTTAGTAAAGGCCCCTCTGTTCAGTACATCAGGACTGATTCCACTGTGAAGGGATCTCAGGCAAGAAAAGGAAAGAAAGGAAGGGAAGGAAAGGAAGGAAAGGAAGGAAAGGAGGGAGGGAGGGAGGGGAGGAGACTGAACATCGATTATTTTTTAATAACTCACCCTGCAACCAACCTTCATGCAAGGTGGAGAAGGGTAGGTGAAAGGGCAGCTGTGGCCAGCCTCGCGCCAGCCTAAATTACTTCCTGGCCAGTGGCCGGGCGGGCAAACATGGGCTGGAACAGCTCGCTGCCCGCCCTCAGCCTGAAGCAGGCTTAGAATTGGGCCTTGGTGTGATCTGGGGGACACGTGAGAGGTTTCAGAGTGGCCAGTGGCCCCGGCAGACTTCGCACAAGCCCGTGCCAGAGCCACGCCCGGGGGAGCCAGTCTGTGAGCCCAGGGCAGGGGGTGCCTTGGCCTAAACACACTTTGATGCCTGGAGGGCCGCCTGCTGATTTTTAAAGCTAGCCATCTCCATCCCATGTGCTTCCGAGGCAGCCGAGGCAACGCCTAGACGTGCAAAGCAGGACATGAAGCAGAAACACCAAAGAGGAACAAAGCAGAGTCCCCATCGCTGGCGATGAGCTGATGTTTGAGGCTGGGCCGCAGGTTGGCTGTCCGTTTCCTGACGGCTGAGGCGAAAGGGGAACTCTGAGGCATGTGGCTTGTGTTGTCTGACAGCCAGAGAAAGCACGCTTGCCTGCACAGACAAACTCTCGGCTGGCATTCATCATAAAGGGGGATTGATGCAGGGAGCATCTCCTACCCTTCCTGTGCTAGTCGGATCCTCCAAGAAGCAGATACCAAGACAGGAGTAGCTACGCAAGGTTTTATGCGGGGAAACACCTGTGGCAGAACATGGGGAGGGAGCTGGGCACGGCTGAGGAGCAAGGTGTCAGGGATGATGCAAATCTGACACTGGATGCAGGAGAAAGGACAGAGGGCTGGGTGGGGGAATGTCTCAGACGGACAGGTCATGGAGGAAGGCTCCGCAGAGCGGCTGGGGAATCCCTGAGCCAAAGTCAGCCGCCAGAGAAGGCTTGCATCTCCAGGACCAGCCCGCCTTGGCATCCCTGCTGCCCTCAGCGTGGGCCGGGTGGCACGGCCTTGGCACAAAGCCACAGAGTTCCCAGCCCAGCCACACAGAGCTCCCCGCCCTGGTCAGGGGAATGTCTCATAGCATGCTCACGGCTACCCCGCTCCCCAAACGTCAGTTACTTATTTTTGTGCGGCCTTCACGGTTTTGCCATGTCAACGTACCACTATGAAAGAAAAAACTATTCTGGCACTTGTTAAAGCGCTAAGGAACACTTTATGTGAGACTACTGCAATAGGAGAGAGACATCGGCTCAACTCTGAATAAGGCAGAGCTAGCTGGGGACTCACAGCCCACGCACAAGGGGCAGCCAGGGGACAGAAAATGACTAAGAAGAGACCTCAGGGCTGGGGGGGATTCTTATTCAACTGACCTGACGGGATTCTCGTGAGAGGCAGGTCAAGGACTTACACATCAGACACGGGGATGGCGAACTTGATCAGGTGTCAAGTGGGGGATTCTCTATACACTGACGGCGGGATTCGTGCTGACACTGTGAGGCAGGCCCAGGGCCGGCCAGGGGCCAGGGCCAGGCCCAGTGGAGGAGAGGGCTCAGAAGAGCCCGGGTGACGTTTGGTCAGGGAGAGAGTCTTTGCCTCTTCCTGGTATTACCCGATATGTTTCTTTAAACTGGCTTTCATTTTAGCTTCAGGCATTTGTTGAGGAACTGGTCATCTATTTTTCCACTACCCATTAAAACGAGTGCATCGTTATCAGATATTAGGCTCATTTGTGTACCATCTTACATGTCTGTGTGCCACCGGTGGACACACGCCACACGCTTGGAAATGCTGGTTCTACAGGAATCACAGACATGCTGTGTGAGAGGCTGTATCCCTGCCCGCCCGGATGCTGCCTGCCAGCTCTCCTGGATACTTTCTGGCACCTCCTGAGGCTCAGAGAAGGGGCTACAGACATTCTCATGGGAGAGTGGGCGTGGGGCGAGGGTAGGACCAGGGGCTGAGCTCCCAAGCTCCTGGCCTCTAAGCTCTGCCCTCTCCGCCCCCAGATGTGGAGCTGGACCTGCAGCGGAGCGTGCAGGCTGTGCTCCGGGAGCTCAGCGCCCAGGCCCCCGCCCTGCGGAGCAACCGAGGTAGG